CAGTCAGGCCCTGTGGACTAGTAGAGTGACTAGGGAATCAGGACACCTGGTTTTTTTCCTTGCTCTGCCACTGACCCACTGCGTAAGTCACTGGCTGGGCAAGTCACTTCCTCTCTCCATTCATCTTTTTCTCCTCAAACCCTCAGTCTGTCTTGTCTATTATGATTGTGAAGAGCAGAGACTGCTGTCACTATGTATCTGGGCAGCACCTGACACAATGGGGCCCTAATCTCAATTTGGTTCTGTGCAGTGCCTTATACAATGAAGGCCCTGCTCTCACTCGGAATCTGTGGAGTGCCTGGTACAATGGGGACATGATCTCAGTCAGGGTCTGTGCAGCAGTTGGCACCATGGGGCTCTGGTGTGGTCTCTAGGTGCTAACTTAACAAATGGGATCTTTCCTGGAGGTAGGTTACCCCACAAGTGCAGGGTTTCTTGCAGCTGGGACTGGGCTAGCTTGATCTTTGATCTGATGTGGCAATTCCTAGTTCCTAGAAGGGCAATTTTGGGTGGCTAGACTGAGACGTCTCAGAGGGCCCTCACTTTTCAGATGGCACATCCTCAGCAATTGCAGAGAATGAGGCCCAGTTGCGGTGTCCTAATGTGGGCATCCCCTGAGGTGCCCAAAATCACTAGTAGAGCTGGTCAGGAAATTGTTTTCCTGTCTCATGATACATTTTGAGATTTCAAACATTTTTCCCATTCTGAATCAGGACGAACTATTGAAATTTCAAAAAAATTTGTGAATTCAACAGTATAAAAAAAATCTTGGTTTGGGTCCCTCACATCATTTCAACTCGATTTTGACCATTATAAATTTGTACAAAAAAGAGTTTGTTTTTAATACAGATTCCAAAACACAAAGTTGTTTCCAACCAGAAAAAAATGAAATTTTCATTTTGAAAATGTAATTTCCAACCTCCCCCCTATTTTTTCTAATTAACACTTTCCGTGAAAAGCTTGGGCTTTGATTAATTAATTTTCCATCAGAAAAATACATTTTTATGAAAAATTCCCAACCAACTCTAATCACTAGTCACTTGGCTCTGGTCTTTTGCTGTTCCATGGGGCTGCATGTGAAGTTTGAGCTGCACCCTCTGAGTTTTTTCTACATACCTAATCACTGTGGGGTACAGCTCACTCGTGTAGAGGTAGACACAGTTAAAGGAGGCAGCAAGACAGCCTTTTCCAACGACAGCCAGAACGGTGCGCAGGATCTTCAGATCTTGGGAGAAGGACACAATGGAGGAGGGTTAAGCATGTGGAAAAAGGCTGAAATGCTCAAGAAGGGTCAGGAGTCAATGGGATGTATCCCAGCCACTGGTGCCGATGGGGCCAGATCCACAGCTGCTGTAAATCAGCATATCTGCGCTGGAATCAATGGGGCCAAATCCCCAGCTGCTCCATTAAAGCCAAAAGGGGAAAGAAATCAATGGAGCTGGGCTAATTGACACCAGCTGAGGATCTGTGCCTCAGTTTGCCATCTAGAAATAAGAGCGATAGTCCTTTCTGTGTTGTGTCTATTTAGATTGTGAGCTCTTTGGGGCAGGGCCTCTATCTCCCTTTAGGTCTGTGCAGTACTCGGCACAATGGGACCCTGATGTCATCTGGGGTCCATGCAGCACCTCGCCCAATGATCAAATACTAATAACCATCTACCCAGCTTTGTTTGTGAAACTGTGTCTGTCACCCCTCCCAGTCAGCAGCTCATCCACTTCGCAACCATCTTGCAACAGGCCAGCCTGGATCAGGCTGAATATGACTCTCAGGTTGCTACACGGAGAAGTGCCATGGCAACTGGTGTCGTAAACACCTGTCAGCTTCTTCAATCCCTGGCAGCAGCAGGTGGTTCTGTACCCTGCAGTACCTCAACCACAGAACACAGCTGTGACGTATCCGTGGGCTTGAGACCCATTAGCCCTTATGGATCAGCTCTCCTGGCTCTTCTCCCTCCCCTGCAGCTGACCATATCAGCCAGGCTTTGGACCTTTGGTAGGACAAAGGCTTGAACACTTCTGGATCTAACTCTGAAAATCCGGCACACCAAGTAACCACCTTGTGGCACAAAGATGTTGGCTAGGATAGAGAGTCCAGCCAGGATGAGGGTCAAGGCCTGTGTGAACCGGCGCCCGATGAAGCCGATTGTGAGGACTGAGATGAATTTTGCTGGGAAATCAATAGCTCCAAAGACCAGCTGGATCAAGACGATATTGACACCGAAATTCTGAAGGTCCATGGCCAACCCGTAATAGGCAAAGCTGGTGGAGAACCTGGGATGAAGCAGACAGGTATTGATGCATAGAGAGTCCTTATCATTGAGTTTATTTGTTACAAGTGTGTTCCCTTTCAGCAATAGGCTCTGCAAATGTGGGTAGACTGCACAAGTGGGTAGACTGCACTGTGTTCTGTTCATGGCTGTGGGAGAGGATTAGGGTCTAGTGAGTTAGACTGAGGAGCAGCTGACAGCCAGAACTCCTGAGTTCTATTTCCAGCTTTGGAAGAAGTGGGGTCTAGTGGTTAGAGCAAGAGGGGACTTTGCTTTGTTGTTAATTCTCAGAGGAATGGGGGCCAATAGCTAGAACAGGACACACGAGGGACCAAGGATTCCTGGCTTCTTTTCCCAGCTCTGCACATGGAATGTGTCCTAGTACTAGGAATAGGTGACTATAGGAGCCAGGACTCCTGAGTCCTATTCCTGCTTCTGGGTAGAATCACCTCCTGATGGTTTTCTCTACATGCTGTCTCCCAGGTGGGATTTATCGAAGTCTAGCTATAACATACTGAATTGTGATCTAATGGGAAATTCAATCTAGGTGAAATTGACTGTCACTGACATGCCATGGGATGAAGTGGAGCGTCAGTGGGGCTTAGTAGAGCTGAGCAAAATTTCTCATCTACAACTTTTTTCAGCACAAAGTGCAGACTCAATGACATCAAAATGCTTAGGGAGTTCATGTCCCTTTGGCTGAATTGTTTCAGATAAAAAAAAAACGCCACACAAAACAAAAACAAACAAAAACAAAATCTAAATGTTTCCAGTTTTGGTTCAAAATGAATGTTTATCTCAAACATTTCTTTAATTTTATTTTTAAAAAATCTTAAAATATTTAAAATCAAAACAAAATGTTTCACTTAATTTTTTTTCAACTTTTTGATTAGTCAAAAATTAAGAAAAAAATGGTTTTCTATTCAACGCAAAATGATTTTTTGTACTGATTTTTCGGAATTGCCTGCGGGTCAGAAAATCCATTATTTGCCCCATTCCTCAGCAAATAGTCGTGCCTGGTTTACTTGCTGCAGACTGCTTCATATCATAGTCTCAGCTTCCTCTTTGTGCAAGCACAAGAGCCAACTAACCATACAAAGCAGAGGCAGAAGGAGATCCGGCGTACGACAGGGGTCCGCACCAGGTCGATGAAGGTATAGCTGCTCTTTGCAGAGGCTATTTCTTTCAGCATGTTGGATCTCAAGACCTGGGGAGAAAAGAGAATTCTGGGTAACGGCATGGGGCCTCCATGGTGGGAAGGGCCTGGAAAGAGAGCAGGGGAATGGGAGGGAATGAGATTCTGGATCATCCAGTGGTGCCAAAATTCTAGTTTCAGAGGACGCCTCAGTCTAGACAAAATAATGTGTACGTGTAGGAAGGGAGGAATGGATAGATGGATAGATAGAAGGTTGTGCATGGATGGATGGATAGTTGGATGGATAGAAGCATTTGTATGGGGATAGATGGATAGAGAGGTGTCTGGGGGAGATGAAAGATAGATGGAGATGAATAGAGAGATTATGTGTATGAGTATATGTTTATAATAGATGGATACATAGATGGATGGATAGGTGGTTATGTATGTAGGACTATAGGTCGAGAGATTGATAGAAGATACCTTGTACGTATGGGAATCCCATTGTACGAGAAAGAAGTCAGACCATGGTGAGAATTCCATTGCTCAGGGAATACTAAAGCCAGTTGGGCCACTGGTGTACATGTGCAGAGTCCCCATGACATGAGTGCAACCATGCTGATTTATAGCTGCTTGTCTTGCGTGCCTATATCGGCCGCTGGAGTTGATGGGAGCTCTCAGCCTCTCTGAGATCCAGTCTTACCTCTGTGTTAAGTTTGTCTCCTTCTTCCTTCTTCCGGTTTATCCTGGCCACTCTCTGGAGCTGCTTCACTGCCTCGTCCGGTCTGCCGGCTATTACCAGCCAGCGGGCGGACTCCGCGAACCACCTGGGAAACAGAAGATATGAAAACACACCTGCACAGAACACGCGCATTGCTCTTGTTGAACTGGGATCAGCTCCATTGGAGCACGGTGCTGTTCTTCTACACTAGGGGCAGTGCCCAAAGCCAGTGCAGGGCACAAGCAGTGACAGAGGCAGCAGGGAGCATGTTGTGGAATAGCCTCCGTGGAACCTGCGTTCTCTGGTCCCTGCTGCTACCTGCAGCCCCCTGGTGACAGCCAAGTGTTACTGCAACTTGAAGCTCCATTTCCGTCAGGAGACTGCCCAGTGGCAGCAGGTGGTATTGCACCTTGCCATGCATAAGGAAAGAAGGATGGTGATAGGGTGATAGCCGAGACCTGGCTTCAATTCCTTGCTCCCCTGCAGACTTCTTGTGCGACCGTTGCTAGTCACTTAGTCTGTCTCTGTGTCTGAATCCCCTCATCTGTACAATAGGGTAATAGCACTGCTCTCCCTCAGAAGGGTGTTGTGGTTATAGCTGGTTGGCACTGTTCTGCTGAAATATTTGTCCATTGAAAAATGCGGGTTTGTTCAAATTGAAACTGTTTGCAGGGAAAGGTCGGTTTCAATGAACCTCTTGATTTAAAAAAAAAACAACGTTTCAAAATTTGTCCTTTGTCAAAATTAAAAGTTTCAACAATTTTGTTTCAAAATTTTTGATGATTTACACTAAAAAAAGGGTAAAAAATAAACAAGCTCCAGATCAAAAAGAAAAATTTCAAAATTATCAAAAGGAAACATTTCAACTGACCCAACCAGAATAGTTTTTCAGATTATTAATTCACAAAAGTTTTCCTGGTTTTGACTTTTCGCCAGATTCAGGATGGGAAAACTTTTCAAAGTCTCAAAGACTCTCATGTTTGTTGCCAGCCAGCTCTAGCTGTGAGGATAAATATATTAAACACTGATGTACCTAGATACTATGGTGATGGGTGCTAGATAAATACCCAAGATAGGTCAGTTCCTCATATTACCTAGCAGTGACATTATGGGTGGAGTAGAGCCCTCTTTGCTTTCACTGGAAATTTTTCACAATATTTTAAATTTTCTTCAACAGAACAAAAGTTTTCATTTTGCTTCCATTTTGGAAGGGTTTTTTTTATTATTATTATTTCCTCTCTTTTATTTCCTTTTGTTTTCATTTTTCCACTGGAAAATGGGGGAAAGTGGAAAAAAATGGCTCCAAAACATTGAAATGAAAATTTTTGTTGTGTCAAAAAATTAACAAACTTAGAAAGATATGGTTATTTTTCAGGAAACCCGCCCCTCCCCCCGAAATCCTGAAAACTAAAATAAAATGTTTGCTTTTGTTGCAAATTTCTGAAGGAATTTTTTGGGGGAGAAGCCATTTTTCATGGAAAACAAATTTAAGACCGCAAATCTTCAATTCTCTCTATTCATACGTTATCCTCTTAGTGTATGTCTTCACTTACCAGAGGGTCCAGCGGCAGGCAGTCGATGTTCTGGGATCGATTTATCGCGTCTGGTTAAGACGCGATAAATCGATCCCGGAAGTGCTCGCCGTCGACGCCGGTACTCCAGCTCGCCGAGAGGAGTACGCGGCATCGACGGGGGAGCCTTCCTGCCGCGTCTGGACCCACAGTAAGTTCAGACTAAGGTACTTCGAATTCAGCTACGTTATTAACGTAGCTGAATTTGTGTACCTTAGTCCGAAGTGGGGGCTTAGTGGGGACCAGGCCTTGGTCTTGCCATTTCCCTGGTTTGATGAAACAATTCTAGGAATGAAACTCCACAGCTTTCATAGTTCTTTGTTCAGTATTTGCATTATCCTAATGCCCTGAAGACCCAGTCATGGGGCAGAACCCCATTGTCCGAGGCACTGAACAAAAAGACAGTCGCTGCCCCATACAGCTTATAATCTAAGGACAAGACAAGCAACAAAAGGTGGATATAGAGAGAAGAGCACAGGGAAACAGTGAGACAGTATTGGTCAGCATGATAGGCAGTGGTCTCTGCACACGAGCAGCCTAACCTTCGTCAGGTTTTTTTTGTAAGCCACACAGCAAGGGAGAGTTAGAAGAAGGACAACGAGGTACCTTTGCTGATGTTTACAGGGCAACTCCTCCCAGGTATGAGTGGCAGCATGATAGAATGCACAAAGGTGCTCGTTTGAAAATTTAGCAACTGGGCAACAGAGGCAGGCATCCTGGGCCAATCGGAGTTGGGAGTCGGCATTGTGCTAATGAATGACAGATGGGATAGGTATGGTGCAGTAGGGCGTGAACAGCTTTGAAAGTGAAGATGAGTAGTTTATGTATGATGTGATGAAGAACGGGGAGCCAGTGGAGGGCTGCAAAGAGAGAGGTGACATGGACAAAGTGATGAGACAGGGAATGATCTTTGCAGGAGTGTTTTAAATGGATGTAAGTGGAGGAAGATTGCATTTGCCAAGACCGGAGAAGGGGATGTTGCAGTAATCGAGACGCAAGATTATGAGAACCAGGATAAGAGATTTGTTTATTCTACTTGCTTAAAGTTTGTCTCATTCTTGCATCCAGTGAGAAAAGCAGGATGGAAGGGGAATGGATCAGAAAGGATAAGGGTGAGCTAACCTACCAGGAGTAGATGAAGCTGATGAAATAGGGCAAAGACACCACAAGCTGCAGCCAGCACCAATTGGGGATGGCGTAAGCCACCCCAGCCAGAATGAACTGCCCAATTGTGTAGCAGTATCCAAACATGGTGACCACAACAGCCCGTGTGCGGGTAGGTGTCCATTCCACAGCTGGGGAGACACACACAAAAGGGAAAATAATCTCTGTGTCCTTGGGCTGATGACATCCAGTCGTGAGAACAAGCACGAGCGGAAGCAGCAGGAACATGTACAAACCGCCTACCCCTGGCTCTTTGAGGCTGAGATGAAATAGGTCCCCAGAACCTGTATTCCCTGATCCATGCCTCCTTCCCCTGCCAGTTGCCTCCCACCTAGTGGTAGTAGGTGGTACTGCACCCTGCTGGAGACGCTCCATTCCCCCTCGCCATGGCAGCAGCTAGTACTGCGCCCTGCAGCAACTCCACCCCCTGATGGCAGCAAGCAGTACTGCCCTTTGCAGGGTTGCAAACACTCCAGAAGACCCCCCCCGCCCAACGGTAGCAGGCTGTACTGTACCCTGCAGGGTTGCAGCAGCTCAAACACCCCACAATGGCACACTTATGCACCCTGAAGTACATCAGCCACAAGACACAGCTGTTATGTAATTGAATAAGCTGAGTCCCATTAGCCTCTGATACCCAACTGCCCCTGGGTCCTTCAGTTCCTAGAGAACCTGTATACATTGAATAGTGCAAGGGACTTTCTAGTAACGAGGAGGGCATTCTGTAGTTCCTGGCTGATGCACATGGCCTGTGCCTGTGCCTGTTCTGTAGAAGATGTATTGTGGAATCTCTGTTCTCTTGTGAATCATCGTCATCTGATGACGGCACTCCACTCTAAATAGCTTCCATTCCATTCTTGGGGACTGTAGGGGTTCAGCCGGGGCTCATCCCCCTCCGGGGTGGCTGGGAACCAGGCCGCCTCACTACAGGGACCTGCATGCTATTGGAAGCTGCCCTGTTCTGTGGCTCTCAGGCAGGGGCTGAGCAGACAAATAGGTTTAGGAAACCCACGTCCTTGCGGCGAAAGACCTGGGAGAGGGGGAGACTGCCACCCGCATGTTGGGTGGCAGGGGGGACGCAGGCCCACCCGCTCCACTGCGTCCCAGCCTGGGGCCTTAACAGCAGCAGAAGACCCGTTGCTGCGTCAGTGGGGATCCTGACCGCAACAAACTGACATTGGCTTTGGGTGTGCTGCAGCCAGACTAGGGTCGGCTGCCCGCGAGCTACTTCCTACCTCCCCCTCTAGAGGTACCTGCGTCTGGGCAGAGTCTTCCAAGGAGTTAAGCACCATGGGCTCCTCTGGGTACGTGGCGGGCTGTAGGCTTGGCAGCTCCTCTGGGTAACTTGCCACAGACAAGTTTACCAGCTTCTCCGGGGTCTGGTCGGCATCTGGCCAGTCCTTGGGTCGGCCACAAATTGTAGGAGTCTCCCAACTGAGAGCTAGGCCACAGGCGTCTGGCTTGTCCAGTGGCCGGGCCTCTAGTGAACTCTGGGCAGTGCTTCTATATCGTGATGCCAACTTTTCCCAACCTAGTGCTAAAAATTTCCTAAATCTGGTGGAAAAATTACCAGATAAAGCTTTTTACAGTGCTTCTATATCCTGGGAACTTTCCCAAAACTTGGGAATTTGTGAGTAAAATGTTTTATCTTGGGAAATTGGGAATTTTCATTCAAAACATTTTACTGAAAAATTCCCAGATTTTGGTAAATTTCCCAAGATATAGAAGCACTGGCTCTGGGGTTGGGCTTTTGTACTTCCTGTCCTGCACCCTGACCTCTGTAGGGGGGGTGCAAGCTACACTGGCTCCACCCACTTTGGCGCCGGAGGGGCTCGTCCCCCTCCGGGGCGGCTGGGAACCAGGCCGCCTCACTACAGGTACCTGCATGCTATTGGAAGCTGCCCTGTTTTGTGGCATCTCCTCTGCTCTGGCACTGCAGAAGCACACGGAGGTGGGATTGTTCCAGAGAACTCAGTTCTCGTTTAAGTATCACATTTTCAGAAGAGGACAGGCCCAGCTTTCAAGGTGCAAAATACCTCCTAAATAACGTGCTCAGGTCTTTGTCAGCTGTGGCAATCAGTGTCCCAAAGGGAGCTGCTGAGTGCTTTGGTAAATCCAGGTTGGAATGGGACCTAGGACTTTTGGAAAATCTAGCTCCCGATTTTTGGTGCTGAGACCTTGGACATCCCACCCATGGGTGTGTGCTTCTGGTCTCTCTGTGCTCCCATCACAGAGTAATTTATTAGCAGCGGGAACAAGGCACTTCCGTCCATCCCCAGTAACCAGCTCATCTTGTGTCTGGGATGGCAGGCGCCAGACACACTTACACAGAGAGACACTGTTCATCATAATGCCTGAGAAGGCCATTCCAGTCAGGAAGCGGAAGATGCAGTAGGCAGTGAAGCTGGGCGAGAAGGCAGTGCAGGTGCCTGTGACAGCCATCTGCAAATAGCACCAGATCAAGGGAGACCTGCGGCCAAACCTGAGCCAAAAAACAAAGAGAACAGGTGAGGGAAACCGGTGCAAGGAATTATTGGTGCCATTGACTGGCCTGGCTTCCTGGCTTGGGGAAGGGGCAAAGTGGCAGGAGGCCCCAGTTCTAAAACCAGCTCTGTGGCACGTGACAAAAGGTTATTGATGAAAATACTTCATGTCAGCCGTCCTGTAGCTGCTAATGATGAGGCCTGCAGGGCTGGATTAAGGCAATCTAGGGCCCTGGCAGTAGGGTTATCCCCTGGATGGTATTTGACTGTTAGAAAAACATGCAATCTTGATTTAAAAATCTCCAGGGCTGGAGAATCCACCACAGCCCTTGGGCCGTTGTTCCAATGGTGAATTCTTTTTGCTATTAGAAATTTGCACCTTATTTCCTGTCTGAATTTGTCTAGCTTCAATTTCCAGCCACTGGCTCTTGTTAGACCTTGGTCTGCTAGATGGAAAAGCCTCTTATCAGATTGCTGCTCCCCGTGTAGGTACCTATACAGAGAGCCCCATGTTTTTTGCAAATGTGAAATAATATGAAAACAGGCAAAAAACTCACCCTGCAGTGGCAGCTCCTGTCCTGTGAAGCTCGGCCTGGCTCCCCACGCTGAACGGGGGGGCACCCCGCCAAACCTGAGCAGCACCGCGACCCCGTGTGCCAGGCCACAACATCCTGATTCGAGAGCCAGGCCCAGCAGCACCACACAGGACCCCAGGAGCCGCTTCTGTGGGGTGAGCGCAGGGCAGGCTCGGAGGTGCAACACTCACCTCCCCCAGAGCCTCCCAACCCCTGGTGGCAGGACTCAGCCCCCCTCCGGGGCTTCCCAACCCCCAGGACAAGACCCGATCCCCTGCATGGATAACATTAACAAAACAAAAATAACAAGAAATTACCCAAAATAAAATAAACAATTATTAAAAGAATTCAAGAGGTTCCACTTACAGACTGTGATCAAATCACCCCTTAACCTTTGCTTTATAGATTGAGCTCCTGAAGTCTCTCACTGTAAGGCACATTTTCCAAGCCTTTAATCATTCTCGTGGGTCTTTTCTGACCTCTCTCCAACCTACCAACATCCTTCTGGAATTGTGGACACCGGAACTGAACACAGGATTCCAGTAGCTTTCGCACCAGTGCAAAATACAGAGATACCATAACTTCTCTCCTCCTGCTCGAGATTCCTGATTCCCCCAGGAATCAGCCTTGCTCGGCTTCATAACGATGTTGCTCTCACCTGTCTGACAGACCTCCAAAGATGATGCCTCCCACCAGAATCCCAGTCATAAAGATGGACTGAGCCATCTGCTTCAGCTGCCGGGAGTCACACACCAGGTCCCACTGTAAGGGAGAGAGAAAACGAAGCTGGGCTCCACGAGGAAGACTGGCTTGTGGTTAATGCCCCAGACTAGGGCTGAGATTTTCAGAGCCATTAATGGCATTTAGACAGCCAGTTCCCATAGCAATCCTTACAATTCATTTTAATTTGTTAATTACAAGTCCAAAGCTACCTACGTTTAATGGGAAATGTGATCTGCAGGGCATCACAGCCTGAATCTCTCTGAGCCTCAATGTCCATTATCTGTAAAATGATGGAGGATCATCCTGGTCTCTAGCTTTGTACCTGTGCAGCACCCAGCACAGCTGGGCCCCAATCTCAGTTGGTGTTCACAGAGCACCCAGCACAGTGTCAGTTGGGGTCTGTGCAGTGCCCAGTGCAATGGGGCCCTGATTGGAGCTGGGGTCCATGCAGTATCCGGCACAAGGGTTCCCCAGTCTGAGCTGGGCTCTGTGCAGTGCCAGGCACAACAGGGCTCCACTCTCAGCTTGGATCTGTGGAGCATCTGGCACAGTGAGTCTCCGAACTCAGCTGGGTCTCTGTAGTGCCTGGCAGAATGGGTCCTTTCGATGTTAATGTAGGATCAAATATAATGATCCCAAGTGAGGTGGATGGTTTTGAATGGAGTGAGCGTTCAAGAGACTGGGACCCCTACTCCTAGCTCTGACACTGACGTGCTGTGACCTTGGGCAAGTCATGCTGCCGCGGTGTGCCTCAGTTTCCCTCAGCTGTGAGATGGGATAGTAAGGTTTAGTCACTATTGTAAAGCTCTTTGAGATCTAGGGGAGAGCAGGGCTAGTTCTTAGCATCATTCACAGTTCCTTTAATGCGGATTAGTGGATTATGTCCAGTTTAATTGAGAGGAAACTGACTGCAAAATGGACGGGGGAATTCCCACCCCAACCAGTGCAACCACCGCTTCCTCCTACTCATACACTGAAGGAATCAAGCCTCTGGGAAGCATAAAAGCGTAAAAGCCGTGTCCTGCTTTCCTTTACACCTGTGCAATGGCAGCCGCTTGAAGCCGCATGGATTGAAGACGCCTGGGGGGCCAGAATGTAACTGAGAACAGCACGTGGCCCTCGATGAGGGATCTGTCTGGTTTTAAGATTAAGTTAGACAAGTTTATGGAGGGAATGGCTTAATGGTAAAACATATTAGCTGAGGAATACCAAGCAATGGTAGGTAAACAGTATAATGGCTAACAGGGGTCGGGCTGGAGACTCTTGCCTACATGCTCGGGGTCTTACTGATCGCCATATTTGGGGTCGGGAAGGAATTTTCCTCCAGGGTAGATTGGCTGAGGCCCTGGAGGTTTTTCGCCTTCCTCCGCAGCATGGGGCAGGGATCTCTAGCAGAGGGTTCTCTGCCAATTGAAGTCACTAAGATACAGGATTTGGGGACTTCATCAGCAGAGTCAAGGAAAGAGTAGGGATGGTTTTGTGGCCCTCACCATGCCTTTGGCCAGTCAACCCCCCGCCCCGGGGTAATTCCCAACAAACCGAACAT